GCTGCTGGTCCTCAATAATTCCAGCTCCAAAACTGTAATGGTTGACCTTGGGTTTCTCCTTTGCCAGAGGCTCCAGGTAAGCCCCTGCTCCCTGGCTGCAGTGTAGGGTGTATTTTACACCTCTCCATCTCCACAGCAGACACTCTCGTTCCAAACAACTCATTAACTCACTGTCGTTCACCAAAGTGAAATCACTCAGCAAGGTGGGAGCCAGTATTGGCAAAGCCAGGTCACAACAGGGCAAACATGGAGAAGGAACAAGGTGGAGAGGCTGCTGCTTCATTAGTCCTCCAGCATAACTCTGGAAGACTGGAATTTTGGGTGCCTGCTTGGAAAATCCAGCAGTTGGAGTCACAATGAGAGCTGCTCCATACCTGCTCCCTTGCAGGTCCTGGGAGAAGCCCAGCAAGCACCAGGCAGGACATGAAGGAAAAGGCTGAACTCTTGAGGGGCTTGCAGGAGAGGAATTCTAACCCCTTGCTGGACTTGCTGACACAATCCACATTGGCTTGTGAAGTCCTTCCAGTGCTGCAAGCCCTTCATGGGCACAGCAAAAATGAATAGTCCAAGAGTATGTGCTTTCCACCTGCTTTTGCTTTGCAGTTGTTTTAAATCTGCTTTCTCTATCCAAAGCAGTAGGATTTTTTTTTTTTTTTGACAAACATATCCTGTAGCAGCTTGATGCCAGCAGTGAATACTCTTTAATCTTTGCACACACACTTCTGGAGCTGGATCCATAGTCTCACAAGCACCAGAGCCATCCCATATCCTTTCAGTTCTGCCAGGCCTAAAATCCAGGAACCTAGAAAGGCTTGAAACACTTAGCAGCAACCAGCCATCTGAAAAGCAGGAGTGGTTCTCTCTTTCAGAAGATGATGCTAAATTACATGGAGATTACAGGGCCAAGAACTCTGAAGGGAGGTGAGAAAGGATGGAGAATACCTTCCTCCAGCCCTTTCCTTCCTCCCTCATCTGGTTTTCACTCTTTATCCCACCCAGGCATTGATGAACTTCCCTGAGAAGTCTTGGATCGGTCCCATTTTCTCTCTCCAGCCTGGAAGCTTGCTTGCTTTCTCTCAAGTGATTCAAATCCAGCCAGATTTCCTCCCCAGAGCATTCATTAGGTGACTAACCAATGTCAGTGGAATTACAGCTATTTTGATCCTGCTGTAGTTAGGAGGCAGGGCTGTATGCCGTGTAGTGTGGCTAATTTAGATTTGCTTTGCATCCTGTGGCACTGAGCAGGGAATGGATCCCCTGGGAGCCTGATGTGTAGGAAGCAACAAGTCCCCACTGGAGTCAGAGATGAACAAAACAGTTTTCTTTTCCCTCTTTGTGGGAAGTGCCATGGAGCAAACTCTTTGGTGCTTTATATTCTGATTATCTCTGAGTGCAGCCTCGTGCCTTGGTTTGCAGTTGTGGCACGTGAGAGGTGAGCTGGCACCTCTAACCTGACTAGGAGGAGCTGGTTCAGCTGAGCTGCACCCAGAAGTGATGGAGACAGGCAACACTTCCCAGACAATCCCAATATGGCCTGCAGAGCACTTCTGTACCCAGGAGCAAAGAGGTGTTTTAATTATCTGCCAAGCATAATTGGGGTCTGAAAGAAGTGTTTCTGTGACGTGTAGGCAAGGCAGAAGCAGCACAGAGGGGATGTAAAGAAGCTGGGGTGGGCAGTGCTAGGTCTGTGCACTGTCCCAGTGGCACCAGGCCATTCCTGGCATGTGATAATCACCAGTGAAGTAGGAAATGGAGTAGCAGAGGAGGATTTGTCTGAGCTGCATGTAGGGTGGCTGTGCAAGTGACAGCTGTGCTGGTACTTTATTTCCCTCTGCAGATATTATGGGCTGCTGTGCACCAGCCTGAGAGCAGCACAGCCTGGCTTAGGACTTTTCCTGAGTGTTTGCTCTGGAACATCTTCAAGGGCTTGAGGCAGTGCCAACAATTCACCTTTCTCACTGCATACCTGCCTTTAATTGCAAACCAGATAGGCTCTGACACGATATTGGCCAATTAAAGTTTCCATCCCCCCAGCCACATGGTCCTGCATCCCACATGCCACCGATTTGCCCTCTAGCTTGGAAAGGCTTATCATCTGTGCAGTCATCTGACCCAGCACGTTTCTTCCTCTGGCTGGGGGCTGCGTTTCCTCTCGTAGTGGGTGCAGCTGGCTTTAGCTGAGAGAGGCAAGACTCACCTCACATATTCATCAACCTGCCAGTTTGCAAGTCCTTGCCAAGCTGGGAGTGCACTGGACTGGCTGATGTTGATGGTGTGAGTGCCAGGGGAGTGGGCATCACTCAGTCAGGAGGGGGCTGTGATGCTGTGCCCCAAGAGGAGATATGTCCATGGTTCATTTGCAGCTGTGAGGAGGGGAATGGGTACAGTAGATCAAAATTCTTCTCACCTTATGGGGAGAGGAACTTTCCTGCATAGTGGTTTCTTTGGGGTTTTTTCCCCATGTTTTTTCCCCTTTAGTAAAAGATGAAATAGAAGTGTAGTGGAGGAAGGGACAACTGATGAAATCAGCACACAGAAAGAAGGAAATATATTGTAAATGATAGTTGAAAATCACAATGATCTGTGCAAAAAAGGAATTCAGGCAGCAAGTAAGTCCCTTTTAGACTGTTTTAGTAGAGGTTTGGGAGTGACTCAGATGGCAAGCACTGTTTTCAAAGCAGGGAGCTGTGTGTGGTTAACTCTTCAAACACAGTGGGCTTGACTTCCCCTTTCAGATTCAGCTGGAACTCTGTAATTGCTGGTAATATCACTGTTATTTGAAGCTGGTACCTGGGGCCTTCTTGTGGGATCTCCTTTCCAAAAAGCCCAGGTAGCAAGAGAACAGTCAGGGATATCAGGGCAGCCATGAATTGATATTCCAAAGCAAGTAGGAGGTTTGGTTGGGGTGTAAACTGTGAGGACAGTAATATTTGTTTAACTGCTTCTGGCAATGTTAACTGGAATTCTGTGACCTCCCAGATCAAGATCATATGCTGTGCTGAATAAAAAAGTACATTTATTGTAGAATCTGAAACTTCTAGCAGAAACCTGAAGTTTTACTGTACCCTAAACCACTGTTGCTGTTACTGAAGTCCAAAATACAGACCTGTTTTCTCTGAATTGAAGACCTCTGGGACATGTCTTTTAAAGTTCTAGTATTTGTTTAAAATGAAAGTCATGCTTGTATTTCTTAATCTTCTATTTTGGCTGCATAATTTTGTCCAATATCTTCATTATATAAGGTGAAATTCAGTCCTTACTGGTAGAAAGTCAGTACTTGCAAACCACTGAATCAGGGGCTCCAAGCATTTGCCCTGAGATGTGCCTGCAATGTCCCAGGAACTGCTGAGTTCTCCAGCTGTGATCTTGGTATGAGTAAGGCTTTGCCTGCCAGCCTACTACCTAGTCCACATAAAAGGTTTGTGACTCAGTTCCTGACTACTTTAGTTTAAAATGCTGACTACCCACACATCTGAACTGCAGAGGCAAATTCCTGTGTCTTCCAGCTCTCCCAAGTTCACAGTTGTGACAAGGTTTGTCAGGGAAGTGAGCTGGACCAAGAAATAGATGAATAAAAACAAATGAGTTTTTAGGAATACAAATCCTTGCTTGAGTCTTGTTCATGAGCAAAAGTGTCTCTTGCTAAAGTGGCTTGCTCCTGGATCCTGGGATTTCTACCTGCATTTTAGAGCCAAGCACAGGAGCTGGCGTTGTCTTAAAGCATAGCACAGATTCTGAGTGCACAGATTTATCCCTGTCTTGGGGGAACTGTAGAGCTCTACCAGGCTGGCCTGGCCTGAGATGCCCCGAGCTCATGAGGAGGCAAAATATGGCTCTTGTGGTTTTTGCTGTGGCTGGCAGCTGGACACGTGGCATTTGCTGCAGAGACTTTTCCAAATTCTGTCTGCATTCTTGGAGGAAATGCAAAGCCGCTCTGGGATCAAAGGCGGGCGTGGACTTCACCCCGGTGGGAGCAGGCTGTGCCAGCCTGAATGCCCCGGAATGCAGCCGTAGTGGCAGACCCTTCCCAAGGCTCATCTGCCCGAGGGGAGGAACACGAGGCATTTCCAGGCATTGCAGCTGCAGTGCAAGAGCAGAGTGCCCCCCTCGGGTAGCCAGGATAGGGAAAAACTTCTGTTTGTTGCGTCTTTTTAGAGGGCGGTTTTTACACCCTCCCAGATGCCTGATTTTTCTGGCTCTTCCTACACATCTCTTTATCCTCTGAAGCCCTGACTTCTCCCCCAGCATGAAATTAATCTGGGCATCTGTGCAAGCCAAATCCAGGAGAGACCATGAACTGACAAGCCTGTTTATTAGCCACTTAGAATGGCTAAATTTTTATTTATGGAGAAGACCAAAGTCAAAAGGAGTGGGTTTTTAGCATTTTGGGCAGCTATGAGAGACATGCCTTGAGGAAAAAACCAAATCCTATCCTTCACACCTGCCTGAAGACACAAGTAAACTATTTCTCATGCCCCATTTTAGGTTTGTGAAGGCTACTGTAGAAACTGCTTAGGTCAAATCTTTTAAGACAAAGAAAAGCCAGTTGTGGCCTCTGCAGGATGAATGTGAGCAGTAGGAAGCAAAGCCTAGAGAACACCTTTACCTTAGGTGCCACACAATGTGCCAGTGAAGGAAACACCAAGTGACCACTTCAGGAAGACACACTGGGGAATGGGATTTTTTTGGCATTCATCCTGCAAGACCAGCCAAGGACAATGCCAGGCTTGCCTTCTGTATTTTTAAATCCATATTCATTCTTTTGTGGTTTAGGTGTGCAGCAGTTGCATTTTCTGTTGGAATAAGGGTTTGTTACAACTCTGGGAATGAAACCTCAGTGTCCTCTGAAAACTGAAATGTCTTCTAGGTTTGTTCTTTACCTAAAGCCTTGTCTAAGATTTTCTCCTGCCATGTTTCAGCTAGGGACTTAGCAAAAACAAACAAGTAAAACAAGGAGTTGGTAGTGTTGCAGTTCACAAATAACTACATTGGTCTTAAAGGAGAAATATACAGATATATTTTATTTTTATAAGTAGAAAAATTAAGTATAAAGTTCCTGTAGAACTACTCTTTGCCAGATCAAACATATCAATCATTTAATCATTTCCCATACTAGCAGAAATGCACACAGCATCTTTTGTTTGTAGGAAAACCACTTTTCAAAGGACATGAATTTTGACATTACACAGCTGAACAGCTGCTCATTTCTTTTTTCTCTAGTGCCTTGGCCACCACTGCTTTTCCAAGAACTCTTTTAGGGAGAGACAGGGGAGAGCTCAATTTTAGATTAAAAACATTTAGTTTTTTTTTAAAGCCTTCCCCAGAGACCTATCAAAAGCACCACCCAGTAACAATACAGTGGGTAGTTCTCTTGCCTTGGGAAAGGAGCTCTCTTCAAAGCCCAACTAATTTGTTAGAAGGGATTAGAGGATTAAAGAGCTCCTAAAGGCTAGAAACCCACTTCTACAAGACAGTAATTGTTTATTTCAAGGATAGTGATGCTGCAGCTTTCATGAGTCTCAGAGTTAGTACATCCAGAGACGCAGAGAAGCTCGATCAGCTCCCCAGACACCCACCCAGGGAATCCACAAATGGTTTTGGTACAAGAAAATTCCCTATTAAGTTAATTAGTTTTATGTATGAAAAGTTCAGATTAAGAAGAGGACATTGCTTTGACGTTGTTCTGCAGGCAGTCACCACTCATGAAATGATCTTCACTTCAGGCTTGGACTCTTCCAAGGCTCTCAGTTCATCATCCACTTCAGAACTCCACAAAATGTCATACAAACTACACCAAAACAAAAAGGCAAGCGAGATTTAGTGAGCATCCTCCTGTTGAGGGAAGAGACAGATGCACAACTGGCCAGTACGGGAAGGTCATATGCCAGGAAGGGCCCCATCTAGCTTTAAGAGCAGCCAGAAATTGGCTTTACAGCCCAGGACCCCCTTAAGATCTCACCAGCCTCCCACCCCTGCCAGGGCTACCACCATCTCTCACATTAACTGCTGCACGTTGCAGCTGGGCTTCTTCAAGGCTTCACAGATCTTCCTGATGCCTTCATCTTCCAGAGGGTTGTAGCTCAGGTCCAGCTCGGTGAGGCACTGCTTGGTGGCCATGACAGTGGCGAGGGTGGCACAGCAGCCTGTTGTCAGGTCACAGTTCCCCAGCCTGCAGGGAGAGGAGGGAGAAGCCAGCACAGTGAGCCTGGCTCCAGGAAAACCTGCCCACCCCCGAGCAGCAGGTATGGACATCGCCATCACGGACCAGAGATCCTGGCAAAGATGGCATCTCCGAGGCATCAGCAGGGGCTGGCCTGTGGTCTTGCCACAGAGAAAGCTGCCCTCGTGGTGACTGCTGAACACCTCAAAGGGCTCCCTAAAGCATAACAGCATGTGGCTATGGGCATAGAAGGACCCATTGAAGTTATTCCCAATTTCACCATCAAGCATCATCTTCTCTTACTACTGTATTTGAGACTTGCAACCACCACTCTAAAGAGGGCGACTGACGCCTCTCAGTTGATGACCAAGTAACTTTAAGTGGTCAAAAGACACTTTCTGGGACAGACTTGCAAGTCTTACTGATGTCTCCCATGACCCATCTGCTTGACTCACTCACTGTGAATTTAGGCATCAGAGCACAGCTCCAGCTTCTGTCCAACAGCATGGAGAGAACAAGCACGGGGCCCTGAGCATCACACAGCCCAGAGCTGGGCCCAGCTGGAAAGGGAACAGGCTCATGGGGAAGGCAAATCCCACCCCAGGGCTGGAGGTGATGCTCCAGCTGGCTGTCTGCTCCTTCTAGTGAGGCTGGACCAGCACTTGTGCTGGCACCATAAGGACCATGGAAGTAGAAGACAAAGCGTGAATTCAGACAGCAAGAGAGAAGACGACTTCTGAGAGTGCACCTTACCATAGAGACTGGATGTTGCAGTTGGGGTGCATCAGCCCTTCACACAGGAGCTCCACACCTGCATCTCCCAGCTTGTTCTCGCCTATGTGCAGTACTTTCAGGTGCTTGTTGGTGCTGACAGCAGAGCTGACAGCCTTGCAGCAAGCAGCAGTGAGCCCACACTCCCTAACCCTGCAAGGCAAAAGTGAGATGAGATCTAAGTGGGACACCTGGAGACTATCAGGCACCGTTCACTTCTTTACATTTATTTAACAGGAGCCCAAGCAGTAGGAACAGAGGAACCAGGGCTTTCCTGCAATCACTGTACTCCTCTCAATGCCTGTCTGCTCAGTCCTTTCTAGGCAGCACCTCTCCTACTCTTTATGTGGGATGTCTGTCTTGGGAGTGTGCACCTAGGAAAGGCACCTGCCCAAGAAGCATAGGAACAAAGAAGGATGAAGTGTGCTGCTCTAACAGTCACTGTTGCCTCCCCTGCGCACTCCTGAGGCACCCCATTGATTTCCAGGCCACCAGGGCAAGAACCCAGCTGGGAGCAGGAGCTGAATCTGCATTGTAGGAAAATTCAAGTTCTAAGTGAAAGAACAAACTTCCTCTCCTAGACCATCCCAGCCTAAAAGGTAAGACAGTCAACAGGACAGGATGATGAGAAATGTTTAATGTCACTAGAACTTTCTTTTGTCTCATCAGTGAGAGGGCTTTGCTCCAGTGGAGAACCTGAGATATCTTATCACAGCACTTATTTTTGTATTTCATCAGGCTTTTCAGACTTCAAAAGTCTCTTAACTGTCATTTGTTGCATGATAAAACAATTAATTAGAAGCTCTGAAAGTGATGCCTGGTCTCCTTTTGGTTGTAACAGGATAACTGTGATGGGGCACATCTTCAAAGTGTCTATGAGTTTAGAAATACAAATCCTTTTGAAGTCTTTAAGTCCAGAAAAGCCCTTTTAACTCTATAAATCCTTCCAGTAACAACCAGCAGGAGCTGCTTATGGAACCATCACAACTGAGGATCTATCTGGGTGGGCATTACTTCACCTTACATCTTTCTTCAGTGAGGCCTCCAAAGAAGGCAGTAGATATGTGAAACTTGACAGCAGCTCACCATAGCTCCTGAAGTTTAGATTTGGGATCCTTGAGTGCCTGACAGAGCATTTCCATCCCTGAGTCTCTCAGGTTATTGTCTATCAGACTGATCTCTGTGAGGGTCTCCTTTGTACTGATGAGTCTGGAGAGATCTTTACAGCTAGCACTTGTGAGATCACAATCCCATAACCTGCAGGAAGAACAAAAATGTTATTTTCTCCCAGGAATTACTCAGATTAGAAAACAGAGTCATGTTTTAGTATACTGAAATTCTGGTTACACTGTCTCATTTTCTTGTATCCTTTCACACATCATACCACACAGCTTCCTCCTTTCCTTTCTTTCCACTTGCTGCACCAAAAGCTCTGCTTTTAGCAAACAAAAAAAGACACAGAAATGTGCAATTCTAGTAGACAGCTAACTCAACTGGAAGCCAAGACAATGCCATCATAAACTTCTATTTGCCCTCTCACCAGAATTTGATCCAAGTAATTTCAGTGTGGTCCTGGTTCATGGTGTTCTCCACCCAGTTTTTGGGAATTAACTGATTTGCAGCTGAGACTTTTTTTTGACCATAAAGGGTAAATGAGAAATTTCTACTTTGGAGCAAACCAGCAGCACAACCTAAACAGCTCAGAAGCTGCAGAAAGGATATACGAAACCTCTGCCCCCCCCTTACCACAACTTCTGGATTTTGCAGCTAGGATGCATCAGCCCCTGGCACAGCAGAGCCAGACCGGAGTCCCCGATCTTGTTGTCCCCCACAGAAAGATCCATCAGAGATGACTTGTTCCTGAGAACAGCACTGATCTCCATACAGCTATCGCTGGTTATGCCACAGTTCTCCAGGCTGCAGGAAAAAGCACAGTTGGAGTTGCTGCTCCAGACCCACTGTGTTAGATACACCCCAATACCCCAGTTCAGACTGAGAAGGGTCTATGGGCCGGTTCCTTGCTGCAAACCAGTGCAGCTCAGCCAGGCACCGCTTCATCCTGCAGGGTTCAGAGAAGACACAGATGTCCAAGATGGGACTCTGGGTGAGGCAACACACTGCTCCTGCATTTCATGAGGCTGCAGGGCACTTTGACCCAGCCATTGATATGTGTTAATGAAAGGATCATTCTTGCCAAACTTCCCTTTTTATCAGTTATCCTTTTTAAGAGGAACTTTTGGCAGCATCACACAGTGAGTCCCTGCTGAGCCACCCCCTGCTGAACCTCAGGGGCAAGATAAAATTAATTGTGCTTTTCCCAGAAAGCCCTTCATGGGCTTTACCACAGAAATGAGGCCAAACCCAGCACCTTTGTTTTTAGCAAAAAAGGGCTCTGAATAAGTATACTCAACAGGCTGGTAATTCCAGTTTAAGAACTCGAGCCACTGAGGGTGATTGTTCCTCTGCTCTGAGACACAGGTGAGCAGTCTCCCTTAGTAAGTGGTGGTTTAATCTGGAGTGCCAAAAATCCCAAAACTGAAAGCCCCAGACATTTGTGTCCAGTTTCCAGTTACATAAATCTGAACCAGCCAAAAATCTGGCCTATATTTCAAACATTCCTGACAATTTTTCCTGTCCTATGGATGTTGTGACTAGCAGCAGCACCAGTTGCCATTAGAGATGACCAGCTCTTCCTTACTGTAGTAGCTCTAGGTTGCAGCTTGCCTCCACCAGGCCCGTGCACAGCTGCTTTACAGCTGTATCTCCCAGCGTGTTGTTGCTCAGGCTGAGCTCCTTCAGGGTGGGCTTGCTTTGCAGAGCAGCATTGAGAGCTTCCACAATATCAGCTGTGAGTTCACAGTACTCCAGCCTGCAAGAAGAAAAGAAGTCCAGGCAAAAAGACAACCTTCCTTACACATCCTCGTCCAACAAGAATCAGCTGAGCCTGGTGTGTGTTAGCCAGGGCAGAAAACATGCCAATGTGAGTTGAGATCAGGCAATGCATAAAACCAGAGATACCTGGTTTAACAGCATCTCTCTGCTCATTTCAGGAAGCTTTAATTCTTAAACTATATCCCAGAGGACCCTAGCAAGACCAATTTTTACACTAGGCCTCCATTAAACCAGTGTACAGGCAGCTTGGATCCTTTGAACACAGGGCTGAGCTCTGCACTGCAACACTATAATGAGCCTCAACCCTGGGCCTGCCCGGGGAGCTGGGGCTGCAAATACATGCAGGTCCTGCTCAGTCATGAAACAAGGACCAAAGGCAGCAGAATCTGATGTTTCCTGGGCATCTGAGAGTCTTGCATTTACAGCCACCGCTGCCAGGAGGGCTAAACAAAGCCTATGGGAACAGACACCTGACTTCCAAACCCACAAGATCCACCAGCATGAATAAATATGACAATTTCAGGTAAAACAAGAACAAATCCACACCTGGCAACAAAACTCCTGCTTGTGTCAAGGGAAAAGCAAGCATGGCTGTCAGATGACCAAAAAAGCCCAGTGATTACTTACTGCAGCTTCTGCAGCTTACAGCTGGGGTTCATCATCCCTTGGCACAGCACCTTCACTCCAGCAGTTCCCAGCCTGTTATCCCCTACGTGCAGCTCTGTCAGGGATGGTTGGGCACTGAGGACGGAGCGCAGGGTCTCACAGCTGGCACTCGTCAGATTGCAGTTTTGCAGCCTGCAGGAGAGAGGCAAATGCACTCCTAGAATTACAGAAGCTCTTCTCAGAGACGTTTATCTGCTAAGGTTGGAGCTTGGAAAGGACACCACAGCTCTGATGGTGCATAACCCTCTAGGAAGTGGTTTGTCCAGGTTAGTACCATTAATTTACAGGTGTGCCATAATATTTTATCAACTACACCTGTGCCACAAACAATAGCTTGCACTCATACAGCATCTCCAGGAGAATATGGATTCACCCTACAGGTAGCCCCACAACTGGTTTATAGAAGTGGTTTAAGTATCAGGAGGCTGACCCCAGAGATAAAGCAAAAGCATCTTATGATTTCTTGCCCCCTCTAGAAACGTGATCCAGAGTCGGTAGAAGTTAAAATCTCATCCAACCAGGGATATAATTTAGTTTAATGGTACAGTGCAAGATGGATCTATGAAGTTGATCCTTCAGCACTCAGGCTTGGAGAAGTTGCATAGGGACTGTGCTAGTATTGCTATGGGGTGTTTATAGAGTTATTATTGGACAAGACTTTGGAGCAATGGAGAGATGTTGTGCAGGGAGGTTTGACTTGGGTTTGGTCGCTCTTTTCTTTCCTCTTATTTATTCTTCTTTATATTCCTCTTCCTTTTATTTCCTTTTTATTTGGTTTCTCTTTTTTTAAGGCACCTTACCAGAACCCCAAAAATGGGCAATTTTATTTCTACAGCACTGAAAAAACCTAATTCAGGCTGTTACTTGAGCATATGGAGAAGTCTGAAGCCTAGGGCAAACTCTCTGAAAAATTACTTAAGCCTTCCAGTACAGAGTACCACAGTTACTTCTTGAAGGCCCATCAGAGAGCTGCAGTTTCATCAGCTTCACAGTCAACTTTCTATTTGCCTGAGTCCTCATTGCAGGGGGCACAGGGACTTCAATATCTGATCTAAAAGGCATATTATTCTTACAAGGTAGTGCCCTGAGGATCCCAGATTCCCCTCAGGAGCTGGAGGACTCCTGCACCCTGCAGAAGTGATGCTGGACAGAGAAGGCAGAAGCCCTCTTTGAGGGCTTCTGAGGAGCAGAGGCAGCAGCCACTGGCTCTGACTAAAGCTCCTGCACCAGGGTTGCTGAGGGAGGCCCACTGATGCTATCATGCGGTGGGGTGCCTCTATAAAATGCCTCCCAGAGCCAGGGAACTCTCCAGTTTGCTGCCTTCTGAGGATCTCTGAACTATTACAGATCCTGGGCTGGCACCCCCACTCCTCAAGGCTCAACCTCAAAGGCATCTGATGTGAGTTCTTCATTGAATTTGAGAATTTTCCACATGTGAGCAGCTTGTACATACTGCTTTAGGTTTGTGTGCTTTTGAGTGGGAATATACTGTAGTAAATGGACTGTGACTGTTGCTGTTCTAGATTATTAAGTACTTTAAATATGTTAAGTTAGGCTTGTGAGTTACTGTTGCATTATAGTAAATTCTATATGAACCTTTGTTAAATTGCTTAACTCAAGCTATTAATCAAGTGCTGTTAAGTTGATTAACAACTTAAATGGTTAATTTTTAATTTAAAAATTAAAAGTTAAAACTTTCAGGCCTAAAGTGTTGGTCCAGTCCAGAACTCAGTTTAGTAAGGATTCTGAACCTTGGAATTCAAAAGGACTGGCTTCTTTTTTCACCCTTTCCTGTCCTGACCCTTGCCCCTTCCCCCAGTCTCCATGTAGATAATTCTTTGGTTGACGTTGGTTATTTACTTTAGATTTTTGTTTGCTTTTTCTCTATGTGCTTTAACCATCTAGTATGTAGTAGAGTGAACCTTGTCAACAAATTGTTGTGCTTTCACTTTTATATAAAACCTGTCTTTGCCAGTGATTCTTTAAGAGACCTTAAAACACTCATTTGTGACAGCATGATAGAGCAAGACAATCAGCAGAGCTTTACCATAACTTCTGTAGGCTACAGCTTGGCGTCAGCAACCCTTTACACAGGTATTCAACACCTTCATCTCCCAGCTCATTGTTGTTCAGCTTCAGCTCTGTGAGGGATGGATTTGTATTGATGATGGAGGAGAGATCCTCGCAGTTACTGCTGGAGAGATTGCAGTCATCCAACCTAAAAGACAAGGAGAGAGGGAGCACTTTAGTCCTCAGAGTTGCTCTGCTCTCCCTGGCTGGAGCACTGCTCATGAAAGCAGAGTGGGCAATGTTCCTGCAGCTCCTGGGATGCCTCCCTAAGTATGTGCAGGACCTGCTGGGTGTTGCATGGCCCAAACCAAGGTGTGCTCTGGGCTGCACCACAGGATGGGCTGGAGGGCAGCTTCCCAAGCCTTGCTCCTCCTCTGTGCTGCACAGAAGAGGGCACAAAGCATCTCCCTACAGCTGGAGGAAGTGCCTCCATAAACAGTGACAGTGACAAACCACCTGCCAGCTTACAGCTGTCAGACTGGTTCTGCACTGAGAACTGCAGCCAGCCCCAGGGACGCTCATCAGCAGGTTGGTGTCTTGCAGGTGAGTCATGCTGGTTTGCACCATCTCCTTCCAGCAGCAATCTCAGCACACAAACCCTGAGTTTGCAGTTCAGCAGCAGCTTCTCCCACGGGATATCAGCATTCTTCTAGGTGCTGCTAAATGGATGAGGATGAATTTAATTGAAAGGAGAGCCAAGGAAGGATCAGGAGCATGGGACAGCCAGGGAGGTATAGACAGAGGCAGAAAAGACACAGAGCAAAAAGAAGGTGTCATTAAGAACCGTACAGCCCCAAGCACACCCACAGCCAGGAGTGACAAAAGTTGCCTGGTCATTTCTCCTTAGACAACAGTATGAAAACTGAGGCTCTAGGAGGGTTCTCTTCCCTCCCCTGGCAAGAAGACATGACTTCCAACGGGATCATGTTCAACACTGCTGAAACAATCCCTGCAGCAGCCACCCTCATCCACTGCCTCTGGAGCAGCCCAGCCTCTGCCCAGGAGACAACCATCCCACTGCCTTCTGCCATCCAAGGCAGGCCTTGGGAAGTCAAGGCCAGGCCCATGAAGTTTTGCCTGCAGAAGGCTCCTTTGCAAAACAAAAGGAAGTTGCCCTCACCAGGTCTGAAGCCCTCCTGGCACTGCTGGCATGAAGTGGCCCATCCTCTCCAGCCCCAGCAGGATGATGCCATCCCATGAAGTGTGAATTCCCAAACAGCAAAGGGGAAAGATTGCAGCAGCAACTCTTCTGGGCCCCGTCCTACACCTTACACCACAGGAGATGGTTCCCTCCCACTGTTTGCTCAACAAACCAGGCTGGTACTTCTGAAGGTCAACTGAAGAATTAAAAGCTGATGGGACACGGCTTGTACCTGACTACTGAAGCCAAAATCACTTGACAGCATCAAGCCTGCAACCCAAAGAGTGTGGAACCTAATAAGCACAGAGATGTCTCCCCTCTCTTGAGAGACAAAGGCAGAATAACCAAAATGGTGGTCAAATATTTAAATCACACTACTGAGCTGAGCCCCATGGCCCACCAAGAAACAGGGCAGCATTACTTCATACCAAATGATATTTATCTCTGGTAGAAAAAGCTTTGCAAGAGAATGGAAGTTTATCCTAACTTTCTGGATAAAACAGGTAGACTCATTCCTGTTGCTGTGCAATTTGTAAGTCCCAGATCAAACAGGTCTAAAGATGAAAAGCACAGGAGAGAAATACAACACTTCTTACTCAAAAGAGAGGATACACAACTAGTTACTACCTGATGCTTTTGCAGGATTTCATTGTGGTCAGAAGTTCAGCCCATCTAGATGGGCTCATCTCTTCACACTGGATGTCAAGCTCCATTTTGACAGTTGAGATAAGACCTGAAAATTAAAACAAAATAAAACCACCTTTTTTAAAAAACAGACTGAGAAGCAACGATGTTCTTCAATCCCCCCAGCTCTCAGCCATGAGTCATACTGTGCAAAGGGGACAGATTATAATTTTCCAAAACCTGCAAACACCAGTATAAGGCCAGGAGAGTTGAAATGGTTTTGTCTGGAACTTGGGAAGGCCTTCCTCTGAGAGGAAAAAAAGCACAGGAATCCTGAAGAGATACAGCAAAAGCGTGTTATCTGGAGGCTGCTTGTGTGAGAATAAGACATTCCACTTCCCCCTCCAAGGGAGCTTAACCAGAAGGAGCTTCATAGGGGCACTGGTGCTACTCACTGTGGCACTGCTGAGCCACACAGACACCAAGTTCCACCAGCGTGGCACATCTGACCCACTGTGGACCCTCAAGCTGTACTTAAAATTGGGGTATTTCTGAGATAATTTGGGTGAATGAGGAAGATGAGCATGAGAACTGCCCGGGCTCAAATTAAAAATCCTGCTGGACATGTGTCTGTATGTGAGAAGTGGAACTTGCATGGACGGGAGAAGTGTTCCTCCACAATTCGATATCCAAGGTTTGAAAGATCACTCTGGTCGGGCAAATCCAAGTACAGAGAAGCTGGTAAGCAGATTTTTTGTTGTTGTTGTTGTTCTGCAGTCAAACTGCATTTCTGAAGTGATGTAAACACAGCGCTGTGCAGAACGGCTCCAGATAAACGTGCACAAAAACATGCCAAGGCCAGTAGCTGAGCTCTAGGTTTAGTCTACAAGGGATGGGGTTAAAGGAAGCGCTGTAGTAGGTGACAAAATGCAGCCTTGGTCTCCTGGTTTGGCCAGCATGACTCAGACTACGGGGCATGAAAAAGAAATAATCCCTGAGCCATCCCATCGGAATGTGAGCTGCAGGCAGCCACCGACTACCCTCATTGCAGTCCCTCCTGCCGCCGTAACATCGCGGGGATCCCAAGCTGGCTTTTCCCGGAGGCCAGCTCGGTGCCAGGGCTCCCGTCAGGTCGCGCCCACAACAAACCGGGCACGCACGTGGGGCGGGGCGGCCTCGGGACCCGCGGCCGGACCGGGACGCGGCGCCAGCGGCATCCTGAGCTCACCGACGTGCTCGGCCTCTGCCCTTCCCTTCCCTTCCCAACGCGAGCGCTGCCGGCAATCCCGGCCCACGGCCTCCGTGGGATCGCACCACAGCCCCACGTGTCGCGGGGTGATGGGGATCGGAGCCAGCGACGACACGCGAGGGGACAGTGGCACCCGGACTGTCACAGCCCTCCCCGCGTCTCTCGGGCACTCTCCCGTTTCGCCCCCGCCCCGGATCGAGAACGGGTTCTTCCCCCGGCCCCGAGTTCTGCGCCCTCCTGCGAGCCGGGGGGATCCCGTTCGGGGTCCCGGGCAGCGGCCCGGTCCTTTCCCGAGACACTGCCGCCACCGCTGCCGCCCCTGCCCGGTCCCCACCGCCTCCCGCACCGCGGGCAGCGCTTTTCCCTCCCAGGCTTTCTTCCTTCCCTGCTCCCCCCGGCCCGGCCCGGCTCCCCAGCTCCTACCGCCGCGCCGCCACCGCGCAGCTGCCGCCGGCTCCGGCCCGGCTCCGCCTCGTATCGCGGCGGGGAGGAGCAGGATCTGTCCCTCCTCCCCCTTTTCCCTCTCTTCCCCCTTTTCCTCTTTCTCTCCCTTTTTCTTCCTCTTTTCCCTCCGTTTTCCCCCCTCTCCCTTTTTTCCTTCCCTCTCTGACACTTAACGCCCTTTCCCCTCTCTTTTGCATTTGTCTTTCCCTTTCTTAATTTTTTCTGACTTTCTCCCTGCTTTTCTTTTTCTCCCTGCTTCTCTCTCCCCCTCTTTTCCGACCTTCTTTTCCCCTCTCTCCTCTTTTCCCTTCTTTCTTTCCCCCTCCACTCTCCTTTATCTGTTTCCTTCATATTTCCTTCCTTTTTCCTCACTTCCTTATTTTTTCTTTTTTCCTTTTTACTTTCTACTTTGATCTCATGTGCTCCTTCCTTCCTTCCTTCCTTCCTTCCTTCCTTCCCTCTCCCTACTTCCTTCTTTTCTCTCCTTTTCCTCCTTCTCCCTTCTTTCACCGTTCTTTTGTTCCTTTTTATGCCCTCCTTTTTTCTGCCATCTCTCCTCTTACTCTATGTCTTTCCTCTTTTTCACCTTCTCACCAGCTTCTCTATTTTTGTCCTCTTTTCCTCCCTTTCCTTTTGCTCCTATCTCCTGTAGCCTTTTTTTTTTTTTTTTTTTTTTTTTTAATCCACCCTGATCTCCCTGATGCTCTTCCCCCCTGAGCAGGAGCACTGGGATACACAGGAAACAAGGCAGGAGAAGGAGAAATCCCTATAATGAGGGGGTGCACAAAGGGTGGGATGGGAGTATCAAACATAAAATGAGGGAGTGTACCAGCCAGCTGGGAGGGAACCTCTGCTGTGTGCCGGGACCTGGCAAGGTCTTGGCTAGGGGAGACAAGATTTCCCCAGGGAGCTCAGAACTAGGAATTGTTTGAAGTGGAAACAACAAAAATATCGTCAGTGGTCTCCCTGACTTCCAGCTTCCAGACACCTGTGCACGGGGGGCCAGCTTGGAGGGCCTGGGAAGTCCCTGCTCCCCATCCCTGTCACCAGTCCTATCCAGGACGCGTTCCCTCATTAGTGCCACACGCTGGGCAGAGAGCTGCACCTCGCTGGCACAAAGGCCTCTCTCAGAGCTCTGTGGAACGAAGCTGTGACAGCAGTGGAGGATGGGCGCCCCGGGCTTGCGCTGCTGCCAGGCCCGCTGCCCCGCGGGCTCTCCCCGGGGCCCTGCCCGACCCACCCCAGCGAGCAGGGCCTGCCCCAACCCGCCCCGAGGCAGGGCGAGGGTGGCAGCGCTTGGTCAGGGCTGGAAGGCATTCGTCATCCCTTGGCTCGCTTCCTCCTCCGCCTGCCGGCTACTCCCTGTCTCCCTCCCTATTGTTTCCCGGTAGTTTTAGCTCCGGTAAAAGCTCGTTCAGATTTTCACAAGACGGAACAAAGAAAGGTTTTGAAGTGCCGAGAGGCACTTGGCAACACCCCGACTTGCCTTCCTCCCTCCACTCCCAAAATCTCAGCATCTCTCCCAGTTTTTTCTTCCGACAAACACCCTCTTTCCATAACCCTGGCTCGCACAACAGTTCAACTAAGCACAACCAGCTGTTCCCTACAAAGCACGGCTTTAAAATGGTTCCGTGCTCCTTCCCGGAGAGCAGGAGGGAAAGTTTCGGGTGTTTCAGAGCCTGCTTTAGCCGCTGGTACGTACCTTGCTGTTGTCGGTTCTGTGCGGGAGCGCGGGGGGCAGAGCTGGCGCCTTCCTGCTGCCGTTACCACGCAACCTCTGCTGTCGTACACGCGGTGCCTGCTAGAGGGAGGGAAACACTTTTGGGCTCTGACGGCTTTTTTCCTCCCGTGGCAGCTCTTCAGGGCCTTGCAGAGCAAGCAAGCTCACGATTGTGTCTGGCTTGTGATGAACCAAGTGTTGCAAAATCCCCCTGATGGTGACAGAGGCAGCTTTTACTTCTCACACCGAATCATGTGGCCACTTGCCATGGTTTAGCCCAGACCAAGAGAGTAGCTGCCACTGAAGGATCCATCTGAAAATGAAGCCACCGCAGTGTTGAAGTGTGGGTAGAGATGATGGAGTTTGCATAGTCTCTCCATTCTCCAGGCAAGCCTGTCCTGCCGGGCCTAGGAGTGATGCTGAGCACATTACTGCCTACCTGTTGCCTTACCTGGGGGTTCTGCATCCCTCTTCCCAGGAGAGGCTAGGACACAGGCAGCCCCCTGCATCTGCACAAGCTGAATGATCACACTGCCTGGAAGGGTCCCTTGGGCACAGCCCTGGTTGTGTCTCCCTAAAACTGCCCCTAAGCACAGCAACAAGAATGGAACTCACTCCTACACCTCCTCCTCCCAAATTCCCACTGGCTCTTCTTCCCCTGAAGGAAAACCCTGCAGTCACTCAAGCTGCATTGCACAATAGTTGTGGCTTGAAGTAACCTGCCTTCTTCCCCCATTCTCAATGGTGTGAAAATGAATTAATGTTTCAATAGCCTGCAAATGATCCAGTAGCAGAAGGACAGATTTGTCTTTCTCTTCTGTGGCTGCAGATGCTGACAGAGATGATGGTAGAATGATGGCCTGGGAAACAGAGCCTTTCTTGAGCCACAGGAGAAGCACTAGAGGCTTTCCCTCCAGCAGCCTTTATTACTCTTCTCCTGGAGGAGATGGGAACCAATCACCAGGGAGTTCAATGAGCTAAAAGCCACCTTCCTCAGTGCCCAGATTTCTCCTGGAGGAGATGGGAACTAATCACCAAAGAGTTCAATGAGCTAAAAGCCACCTTCCTCAGTGCCCAGAAGAGAGTTGAAAGCCAGAGAATTCACCTCTTCCCTATTCCCTCTCAGGAAAACAGGGTCATCCACACAAAGAATTTGCTAGAACAGTCCTTGTGCTTCTGGTCTGACCTGAAACCTACTGAAGCACAGGCAAGAGCTTGGGGATGGCCTGAGCTCCCAGCTCTGGTGCATGTTAGGATGCTCCCTAACAGGAAATGGAGGGGATGCTGTGGCAGGTGAAGGATGTCTCTGCCCTTTTTGCTTGGCATGATGCTTTCAGGAAGACCACTAGTGTTAGGAAGAAAGTTTATGCTGGCAGGAGATCCTCTGGTCAACCGAGCAATTTGAAGTCAGATGCCTGTCATTCACCCCAAGAGCATAGGTGCCATTTCCTATCCAGCCATTGCTGGCATCTCTGCCCTTGGTTCCCGCTTCGCTGCACATATCAGGAGTCTCTAAAGGACAAAGTCTAGTGTTTGCTAGAGGTTTCAGAGAGGTTTATGTCACGTGGACCTTCTGTGGACCTCCTGCTCTGGGCAAAGCACCCAATACACTCTGGTCTGTGTTGGTGAAATATTAGATTTATAGTCCAAATAGCCATGCCAAAAGGTTATGTGCTTCTGTCTCCCTGTCAACCCTTTGGCTGCCCTCACTGCAGGGACAGCAAAAGGCATCTCTGGAAAAATCTATTGCCCTTTCCCCAGCAAGCAGGACCAGGCCATCCTGCTCATCGAAATACACACAGATCCAGAGGAAATGATACAAAATAGGGCTGAGAAAGCCAAATCAAACACCAGTGAGAAACACCCGTGTACGTCTTGCCTCAGGAACAGTGGAAGACTCCTGGCATGGAAGGTGTGTCCATTTGGTTATTTGTACAGACTCAGGCTGATTCCCTAAAGATGCCTTGAGGAGTGTGGCACTGGCATCTGCCCTGTGTTCCCCTCTTTATCACCATTTCCCATTATCCTTTCTGAGTTCATTCAAATTTATCTCCTCTTTTTTTAGGTCCTCTCCCTCTTTTGGTCTTTGTAGCAAGGAGAGAAAGCACGGTGATGCCCATCTTGCCCCTGCTGCCTTTGGGCACAGCTGGCATGAAAGCATGAAGTGCAGGTCTTCTGTCCTGGGATCTGAGGAAGCTGAGATGTGTCTCTGCATTTAAGATGATTTCATTTTAAAAATAAATTTATGCACATAACCTTAGAGTAAACTTATAAAAGAATACTTAAATTAAGGCCATTAGTGTAAACTGAAAACTCTGCCTCTTCCCCTTCTAGCAGTTTCCTGTTTTGTCCTCTCTGCTCTTATGATGCCTCTGTGCATATACTTAATGGTAATTAAAGACAATAAACTTCTAAGAGTAGTGGCAGATCTTTTTCTAACTTGACTATGTGATCCCTACCAGAAAATTAATTCCATAAATTCAGCTGTGGAGATCAAAACAGCGAGTTGTAAGCATGTGCCCAGCTCCATTTGTTGCAGTGAGTGATTTATTTATATCCTACTTGATCCATTGCTGGAAGCCATTTGTTCATTGAGCTTGTGTGCAAACTTCAAGTAAGGCTTTGTAGGGTGAGGAAATGCAAAACTTGGGTCATTCCTGAAGAGTCAGTGGGCTGATTAAGCACTGGGGAGCAAAGTGTCTGTGGAGCTAGAGCAGAGAACCTGACACTGTGGCTTAACTGATGCCTCAGGAGCTAAAAAAAAAAAAAAAATTAAAAAAAAAAATTAATATAAAAATAAAATAAAAATAAAAGGAGGTCAATAAAAAAGTGCTGGTAGTAAGCTGCTAGTGAGGTGGCTGAGCAAGGTTTGGGTTTTTCAGCAAATACAGGCAATTGCTCACCCTGACTTGCAGGCATGCACACACACATATGGATGTTCCATACTGTGGCAGCTCATTACAGATTCCCACAAGAAAACCATTAGGGAGGAAATTCTTGCTGTTCTGATGTGGTCGCCTTGTTCTTGTAAAAGAAAAGCTGTTGTTTCCATTTTGCACCGGTTTTGTGTTTTGGGGAGTGGAGAGCATTATAATGAAATAGTGCTGTGAGTGTATGTGTAATATTTTATCCCTGTGGATACAGTCTTTCACAGTGGGTCCAGCGAAAATGGAGCCCCCAAAAAATGGAGCTTTCCAGATATGTTCATGAACCAACACAGCTGCAGAAAAAGTACTGTCAGAGGAATTTTTCTCACATCCCTGCTTTTCTTCATCTTCTGTCTCAGCCTGCCGCAGTGTTTGCCTGCCCGTCTGCAGAGGGCGATGCAGCATCAGTTTGACCGGACATGGTCCTCTGGCTTTCCCTCATCCCCAAGTTGCCCTTGGTCACCAAGACATTGCAGGGGTTGAGGGCTGAGAGGTCTAGAGGGGAAAAGGAAAGGACCAGGCCAGAAACACAGGTGTATTTCTCTCTCTTAATGCCAGCTGTGCAGCAGCTGATGCAATGGGAGACTGCAGTGGATTTCACTTTCCTGTTAAATCCTGCTGCACAGGAAGACTTGAATAATTTGCTGAAACTTTGAAGGCCGCTGTAGGGACAGCTGGTTATTTCATGAGTTTGTACAGGACTCAGAAATGTGAGTTTAAATCAACTTTAAAAGGCAAGAATGAAATCTTGAAGTGAAAAGAACCTCAGCAACCATACACTTGCCTGGTTTTCAGACTTCAGTTTGCATGTTACTATTGCCTTTTTGCAGAAAGGAATAGTAGATGTCCTCTGCCAGTAGAGGCATCTCTCTAGTCTCCATGAGAATACCCATGAGAATTCATGGGTATTTGTGCCCAAAAAAAATCATTTTGTGTCCTAGAGTCATGATGATCTCAAAATGATCATGTGCATCTGTTAACCCAGCATCACTAAAGCATAACCCAGAGTTACATCCACATGCCTTTTGAACACTTCCAGGTGATTCCAACACTTAGCTGGGCAGCCTGTTCCAATGCCTGACCATCCTTTCAGAGAATATTTTTTTTTTCCTAATATCCAATCTAAACCTCCCATGACACAACTTGAGGCCATTTCCACTCATCCTGTAACTTGTCACCTGTAAGAGACCCCTTCACCTCACTAAAACTCCTTTCAGGTACTTGTAGAAGTGATGGGGTCTTCTGAGCTTCCTTTTCTCCAGGCTAAACAACTCCACTTCCCACAGCTGCTTCCCATAAGACTTGTCCCATAAAAAAACCCACTGCATCCTCTCTTTAATTATCCAGTTCTTCCTGTAATTGGAATTAATTTGCTGCAAAGGTTTGGGGGTGGGATATTTTGGAGTCTCCTCAGGTATAGGCTGGGGCCAGTGAGCAGCTTGAAAGCTGAATTTCATTCTTTGTCATTGAAGTTTGCCAGAAAGGTCATTTCCTTGGGCATGTAAGGAGGAAAGTACTCAGAATTGTTTTCTTCCATTGATTCCCAGTTCAGTTTGTGGCAGGGATGGAGATCCTTCCAGCTCAGTGTAATCCTTTGAGGTTGGTTTTTTCCACGATACACCATCAGTTTATAAAAACAGCTTCTCTTTTTTTTAAAGCTTTTTGCAGTAGAACTGGAGCAGAATGTGAAGCACTTGCTTGAACTTTGCACCTGGATAAATTTAGGGAGCAAAGTCTTGACCTTTTTTTTAATAAGTGTCACCTATATCAATGACTCCTTGAGGTGCTTTGATTCCATCTTAAATTTACACAAAACAAGTGTTTTGGCTCTACCAGAGGCCTCCAGGTGAAGGGATCTCTAAATGCTTTCCTGCTCTTGGGTGGGATGAGAAAGGGAGGGCTGGGGCCAGAGCTGTGTGGGAAGAACTGGATGCAGTGGGTGCTGCTCACTGTCATGGCCTTCCCATGTTCAATAAGGAAACAGAAGACCCTCTTGCAGTGCCAGGAATACGCAGACAGTGTTGTGCCTGCCTTAGGCACGGGACAGGCAGATGTATCTGTGTAGCTGTACTGGCAGCAGGTGGGGTCACTCACTCTGCTGAGCCTGGAGCAGGCTGAGGGGAGACCTCACT